CTACATCTCAGTCTGAATCCAATGCTCATTCTCCATCATGTTCCTTGGGACTTATGAATAAATTTTTCCCTAATGATAGTAATCATAATTTCCATTCTAAAATACTCTTTTTTAAAAGCACTTATATTTATGTAAGTATACATATACATATAATATACATATAATTTTACATATATAAGTGCGTGTATATATGTGTGTGCATATATTATGTTGTTGTCCAGCCATTTCCAACTCTTTGTGACCTAATTTGGAGGTTTCTTGGTAAAGATACTGGAGTGGTTGGCCATTTCCTTCTCCAACTCATTTGACAGATGAGGAAAACTGAGGCAAACAGGGTTAAATGACTTGCCCAGGGTCACACAGATAGTAAGTGTCTGAAACCAAATTTGAACTCAGGAAGATGAGTCTTTCTGACTCCAAGCCCAACACTCTGTCCACTGAGCCACCTAGCTGCCCTATAGAAGCATTTATACACACAAATATAGGTAGATGACAGATATACATATGTATACAGAGAGAGAGAGAGCTTATTTCCTCAAAATAAATGCATGAGGTAAGCAAACCATCCTCCTTTGACAGATGAGACAACTGAGATAAAGAGACATTCAAATTCATGCAGCAAATCTGTCCCAGAGCCCAGAATAAGATCTAAGGTTCTCTTGACGTAAGCTCTCTTCATCTCAATTTTCTCAACTGTAAAATGAGGGAGTCAGACTGGATGACCTCTAAGAGTCTTTCCATCTTTAAATCTGGGTATGGTCCTAAGATTTTAGATCAATGACCATACAACTTCCAGTGCAGTGTTCTCTTCATTATACCACGTTGCCAGTCAGGACAGCAGTGACTTCTGAGGCTAACTGGCCTTATGGCGGCAATGGCAGCATGAAAATGTGGTGGTCTGGATTTTGCTGCCCTGACCAGCATGGGCTGAGTGAAATGGGAAAGGGGTGGAGGGGGAGGGTAGGCAGCACTGAAAGGCCAAGTGTTAATCAGGCCACTTGGAGAAAGTACCTTGTTTTTGGAATATTCATAAGGTCCTTCCAGCTGTGCCAAGCAATTAGAATGCTGATTACAGTTCCTTACATCTGCAGTTTAACATTCCACTCCAGAAATGAGAGAGTTAGGGTCTAATGTTGGGAGCTCTGGTCTGAATTTTAAGTGGAAATCCAAACCCAGGTTGACTTAACAATGGCCTATATAGCTACAACAGGGAAGAGAGACCTGGTGCCCATTAATTCTAAGAATCACTATACTGCCAATGTCACCACTGCCCTTGCCATGGATGTGGAATGTTGTTCTGTTTTTATTTTGTTTATCTTTCCCCTCTGGGAGAATTTAAAAACACAAATCCTAATTCAAAAGGGAGGTGAATTTGAAGGGATTCAACACAGTCTCTGCCACAAAGCAGGCTAAACTCATTCTTTAGAGGGTGGATCAAGGAGCAAGGTGTCCCAGGGCTCCAAATACTGATATTCTCTCTCTTGGTAAAATATCCACAGGAAAAAAAAGTCCACGCCAAGTATTTTCTCCCTCAACCCATGGGCCATATCATCCTCAGGCATGAAGAGGGAGGAAAATGTAGGGGAAGGAACCCATTCTGGAACTGATATTGAATATTTCCTTTTTTCACTTTACTTTTATCATAATCAAGAAGAGCCTTTAATTATTTGACCATTACAGTGAGACTTCATTTATCTGGAGATCTGACTTCTTGGTAACCTCAACCTCTCATAGCAAAGCTATAATGCTGGAAATAAGTGAGAATGGCCTTCGTCAGGCAAACAGCCATCAAAGTCCATATACTTTGCTCTTAGAAGAGTTGTCAGCATCCTCAGATCCTTGCCCGGTCAACTGTGTATAAAATAGGGCAGCAAGAAGATATCCTGATAATACTGAGAAATGTTGACAGATTATAGCAACAGAATGCATCAAAATTAGAGAGCTGACAGGAGAACCATACAAAGCAGATTGGTTTTTTGATCTATTTTCTAGTAAGTTCTTCAGTATGGCGGCCTCTGGCCATTCAGGATAGGGGCAAAACCCCAAGAGCCTTTGTGTGCTATGTGCTATCACACTTCAATAACTGATACACATAATGATAAACTTCTGTCATCAGAAAGCAGTTAAATTATGATCAATATTTTCTAAAAACAAAACAAGAAAATGAGTAATTCATTTCTAACTAAAATGGCTAAAATAATCAGAATGTTCGTCCTTAAGGAGCGAGCTCATCTTATTTGGCCCTAACCCTGACTCATGACTCTATTTCCTAGCCATCTCCATGCCAGGCCACCTGTACTCCTCCCACCAGAACTGAACATCTCACCCTTGGGAACCTGCGCTCCAACTGGGAAGCTTTCAACTTTTCTTTCCCTGACTCAGGTCCACCACGAAATTTTCCCGCAGTCTCCATTCCATACCATATCTCCATGGCACGTTGACAGAACCCTTCCCTCTGGTACTTTCCAAATATGTATTGTCTTTGCTATTAGAATGTAATCCCCTTAGGAGCAAGGACTATGTTGCTTGCTTAGATTTGTAACCCCAATGCTTAGCACAGGGCCTCATATGTAATCAGTACTTTCATTTGCTACAGAAAATACACACCTGTATAAAAGGTCTATTTTCCCAGCCATGCTAGATAAATGAGATATTACCAAAGTCAAACCCATTACTTACAAAGATTGGAATACTGATCATTTTTCACCAAGTTGCAAGAAAGATATGAAACTTCATTTATAAAAAACCTCTGATTTTCCAGATGGGGCTACAGTGCAAAAGGAAATATACATGTGTGTATACTTACATACTTAAACATATATATGTTTGTATACATACGTGTGTACACAATATGTGTGCATAGATCTCTCTCTCTCTCTCTCTTTCTCTCTCTCTCTCTCTCTCTCTCTCTCTCTCTCTCTCTCTCTCTCTCTCTCGTGAAATGCAAGTAAAGGGATGGATAACCTTTCCACAGTTAAGGACCAAGGCTCTAAGGCCAGCTCTGGTTTGCTGGAGGGGGTTTGGGAATGGTGGTAGACGTGGGCTGGTGAGCCAATACATATCTTACAAGTGAGAGAGGATAGGCAATGCAGAGATGGGGACCTGCCCACAGCACTGAAAAAAATAGCCTATTGTCATGGGCTAGCCAATCTAGGCATAGAAGCTTATCTCTACTCAGGACTAGATTCTAGGAATGTCCAGGTCTGAGGGTGGGGTGGGAGGAAGGATTCTTCTCAGAATCCCTATCAAAGTACCGGAAGGAAGACAAGTTAATGCTGCTCACATTTGCCAAGCACAAGGGTTCCCAGTTCCTTCACAATCTCTACTCATTGCAGCAACATGTACCATGATGCGGTTTCTTCTGCCAGCCTAGATGGGAAAGATGATCTGGTCCAAGCCCTCTCCTAGTATGTATTTCCCAAACAGGAAGGCCTCCAAAAACCCATTCTCTACCAAAAGCTGATGCAGAAAACTTCAGGAAGGAAGATTTCCATGTAAAACTCCTCCTAAAGAGCCAGTGGAGGGTAGGAGTGGGAATGAGTCAGCAGGGAGAAGAGAATTCAACCATAAACAAGTGAGACTGACAGATAGCACTTAACAGGACTCTTGCAACTCCCACACGTCTCTTGAGAGTCTGCTGAGTGGCTGGGAGTTTAAAATTTTTATGATCTAGGCTTTGCAGATTTAATTTGCCAAAGTCACGCAAGGGTAGGTGTAGGGGGGAGGGGCAGAATTATATAGCAAGGGGCCAAGGGAGCAAAGATGGAAAATATCTGGAAGTCTTCTTAGATGAAGATTTCAAATGCTGCATTAAGGCATTACCATTTTTTTACAGGTATCTGTCACAATCTGTCCCCTGCCCCATTCCTTGTAGAAACACTTAGAAGTCAGAAGACAAATTCTTTAGAGCTAGAAAAGATCCAAAAAATCATATAGCCCAACTTCCTTGCTTTTTGAATAAGGAAACTAAGGCCGAGATAGGTTAAATGACTTTCTCATAGTGACCCGGCAAGGTGCTGACGAAATCTGGGTCAGAATGACTCCAAACCATGCCTTTTTAAAAAATCACATTTTTAAATTTAAAAGTGGATAATTTTGTTCTAACGTAATAGGTATTTCCCAACAAAAGCACTCCCCCATACACATTCACACATGCACCCTACTACAAAGCACATTCCCTGAACCAATATTTTTTGTTTTTGTTGTTAAGCTGTGTCCAACTCTCCATAACTCCACTTGGGAATTTTCTTGACAAACGACTGGAGTGATTTGTCATTTCCTTCTCCAGTTCATCTTGCAGATGAAGAAGTTGAGGCAAGAGGAATTAAGTGACTTGCCCAGGGTCACACAGCTAGTGAGTATCTAAGGCCAGATTTGAACCCAGCAAGATGAGTGAGTCTTGCTGACTCTAGGGCCAGCACGCTATGCACCGCACCACAAAGCTGCCCTGAAAAAAATACTTTATCCATTATTAATTGGAATCAGGCCTGTTATCATATCATTTTGACAGTATGACACAAATATTCCAATAACAGGATTCAGAAAGAAGAGAGACTTCAGAGATCATCTAATTTGTCCTTTCTTCTTGCAATCTGAGGGCCAGAAATGGAAAACCCAAGATCATATAGACAGGAAGTGACAAAGCCAGGAGTCAAAGCCAAGTCCTCTGACTCCAATGTCACTGTTTATACCACACTGAATCCATCAAATCTCAGGCAACTATTGCTCCCTCCCTCCAATTTAACATGCCAAAAAATGTAACCTCTACATGCAGAGCCTCAAAGGGAAATAGTGGGTAAGTCTTGTCTCCTTTAGGGAAGAAAAGGGAGAAGTAAAAGATCAGAAACTGGACTCTCCACAAACTGGATTATCAGCTTCAGGCTAATGGAGGGGAAGCTGGGTTTGAAATTCCCCGCAGGATTCCTTCTAGATGTTACAGAGGCCCTAGCTACTTTGGAAGTTTGATCTGCATTTCAGGAAAGGAGGCAAGCATAGCATACCTGCTCCAGGGGGATTACAAGAAAGGATCCGCCTCCCGCACTCTCTGTAACTATGGCAAGGAACCTGGCGTTGACAGCGCAGAAGTGGTTGTCGTGCACATTCTTCGTGATGGGGATCCCGTCAAAGCAGTGCTCTCGGTTGGCCACCTTCCCGTAGACATTCCGGAACTTCGAACTTCGGTACTGCGGGCGCCAGGACATCTGTGGGGGAAAGGGGAAAGCCATGTATGGCATCAGTCCCACCAGGCTGCCTTCCTTCACTCGGCACATACTTACCGTGCATCTCCTGTTTCCAGGGAACTATGCTGGATTCTGGGGATACAAAGATAAATGAGGCCCCTCCATCGAAGAAATTTGTAGCCCAGTACTGAAGCTAAGGTAAAGATACAAATGAGCCCGACACAGGGCAGAATATTCTCAGTGCTAACAGGAAGAGTGCTGTGTGAATTCAGAGGGAGAGAGTGATCACTTCTAGCTGAAGGAATCAGGAAACATTCCATGGATAAAATGCAACTTGAGCTAGGCCTTGAAGGAAATTCAGAAATTCTAGGTTGTTGCTTGTCCTTTGTTCTCAAAGAGGACCATGACACCAGTGAGGTGATGCCATAACTCACAAGTGAATCAGATTCAAGTGAGGAGGGCTGTACAAAGTCACCAGCCTCACTTTCTCCTCCAGAGCCATCTGGGTCAGTGGCAAGATAGGGATCAGGACAGGAGACCTTGGCCTTTTTAAGCTAAGGTCTTCTTTACTGGGTCTCAGTTTGACTGAGACAACGCCTATTAAGGTTAGGTAAGAAATGAGGCAGAGAATGGCCCCTTAGGTGGAGGTGAGAAGGGAGCACCTTCCCAGCATAGGGGTAGAGGGGGAGATACAGTCACTGCACAGGCACCAAGAGATGGGAGGTAGAGCACTGTGTAGGAGAACAGTGAAGACACTTTGGCTCCACCACAACATGTGTAAAGGAAAATAACGTGTAATAAGGCTGGCAAGGTAGGATGGGGCAGACTGTGAGGGCTAAATACCAAACAGAGGAGTTTTTTATTTGATCCTAGAGGCAATAGGGATTCACTGGAGTTTTTGGAGAAGGGCTTGAATTATGGCAGTAGCTATTTCAAGTAGATAGAAGGGGCTGGTTGTGAGAGATGCTGGGGAGGTAGAAATGGCAAATTTTAGCAAATGACTGGAAAAACTGAGTAAGAGACAGTGAGAAGTCAAGGATAATTCTGAGGATACAAACCTAGGATACAGAAAGGATGTGAATAGCCCCAACAGAAATGGGGAAATCTGAAAGAAAGGTATGTTGGGAGGGGAGAAAATAATGAATGAATCTGTAAAATGATGGGGTTGTACTAGGTGGCCTCCAATATTCTTTTGTGCTCTAGATATATAATCCTGTGATTCTGAGAGATGAAGACAAGTCATTACAGGTATGGGGAAGAGCACAGAGGTATGAAGGTGGGAACTGTAGGAGATTTTTTGGAAGGACGGTGATATGATCAGAACTATGCTTTCCTGAGCAAGAAAAGTTACAGTGAGAGCTGCCCTGTATTCAACATCTTGTGCATGATGCCATGGTTTGGACCTTGAAAGGGAGATACAGGAAGGAGGAGACACGTTCCCATCCTCAGGGATTTACCAGTCTAATGGAAGGAAGGCACAGTGCATACCTTTAGGGAGTTCCCAGCTTAAGGAAGAAACACAGCTCTTGCCCTGAGGCAGTCTGAAGATGAGACACGGTCTCTGTACTTGGGGAGCTGCCTAGGTTTCCTAACCCACTTAGCAATGTGGCTGATATGGCTCCAGTACATTAGCCATGACATGTGACCCAGTGGGGTTTGTTACATGGAGTGTTCAAAAATAATGGTGATAGGTTACAAAGTCCTATACACACGTAATCTCATTCGATCCTCACAACAACCTTGTAAGCTAGGCACTATTATTATCCCCATTTTATAGATGCAGCAACTGTGTATGGGAAAGGTTAAATGACTCGACTGAGGTCACATAGCTAAAAAGAGTCTAAGGCAGGGATTACAACTCAAGTCTTCATGACTCAGGTCCAACACTCTCTCCATTGTTCCACCTAGCCATCCTAAATTTGTTTCAATCAGATCAACCCTCATAGGAAAGCAAACCTACCACCAACTGAGGGTTGTTTTCTTAGTTGTGTGGATCAATTGCACTCAGTCACTTGTATTTTGTCAAACTATATAGCAAATAACACACATTTCAAAGGTAGTTAAGAGTCATGTCTGATTTCATTTCTTGCATGAGACTAAGTACCCTTGAATGGGGATGGAACATCCTTGTGCTTTACTGCAGTGGAACTTAGGGGCAAAACCCAAACAGGTTTGTTTTTTTTTCCAGGATGTTCATGGCCTCGCTGGACACCATGGAACTAGAGTCACAATAATGTTGTTGTTCAGTTGTTTTTTTAGTCATGCCCAACTCTTCATGACCCCGTTTGGGGATTTCTTGGTGAAGATACTAGAGTGGTTTACCATTTCCTTCTCCAGCTCATTTAACAGATGAGGAGCACAGTAGATAGAGCACTGGCCCTGAAGTCAGGAGGACCTGAGTTCAAATCCGGCCTCAGACCAAACACTTGACACTTACTAGCTGTGTGACCCTAGGCAAGTCACTTAACCCCAATTGCTTAAAAAGCAAAAAAACCCCCAACAGATGAGGAAACTGAATCACACAGGGTTAAGTGACTTGCCCAGGGTAACATAGCTAGTAAGTGTCTAAAGTCAGATTTAAACTCAGGTCTTCATGATTCTAGGCCTGGCACTCTATCCACTGTGCCACCTAGCTGCCCAGGTATTAACATGACAACTACAATAAAGCAGAGGAGATCACAAAAGAAGGAAAAGGATTATTCACAGAATCATAGACTTAGAGTTGGAAGGGACCTTAAAAGTCATCTAGTCCCAACCCAAAAAAGGAAAATTTTGAAAAGACAATTAACAGCTTGGTAAAAAAGAGGATAGAGTGCAGTAGATAGAGTGCCGGGCCTGAAGTCAGGAATACTCATCTTCCTAAGTCCAAATCTGAGCTCTGACACTAACTGTGTGACCTTTGGCAAGTCACTTAACTCTGCCTCAGTTTCCTCATCTGTAAAATGAACTAGAGAAGGAAATGGCAAATCACTCCAGTATTTTTGCCAAGAAAACCCTAAAAGGAGTCACAATGAGTTGAACATGACTGAAAACCAACAAAAGATATATGTACAAAAATACTGAAGAGAATTACACCTTAAAAAACAGAATTGGCCAAATAGAAAAAGAGGTACAAAAGCTTACTGAAGAAAATAATTACATAAAAATTAGAATTGGGCAAGTGGAAGCTAATGACTCCACAAGACTTCAAGAAACAATCAAACAAAGTCAAAAGAATGAAAAAAAATAGAAGAAAATGTGAAATACTTCATTGTAAAAGACAACTGACCTGGAAAATTGATGAAAGAGAGATTATTTAAGAATTATTGGATTACCTGAAAGCCATGACCAAAGAAATATCTTACACATCATATTTCAAGAAATCATCAAGAAAAAGTACCCCAAAATCCTTGAACCAAAAGATGAAATAGAAATCAAAAGAATCCACCAATAACCACTTGAAAGAGATCCCAAAGTGAAAAATTGGGTCTCAAAGAAAACACTTCAGGCAGCCCAAAAGAAACCATTTAAATAGCCACAATCAGGATCATACAAGATTTAGCAACTACCATATTAAAGAAGTGGAGGATTTGGAATATGATATTCTAGAAGGTAAAATATCTGGGATTACAACCAAGAACAATCTAATCAGCAAAACTGAGCATAACCCTTCAAGTGAAAAAAATGGATATTTAATTAAAGAGAAGATTTTCAAGGATTCTTAACGAAAAGACCAGAGCTGAATAGAAAATTTGACTTTCAAATACAAGAATCAAGAAAAGCATATAAAAGTAAACATGAGAGATCAGAAGGGACTCAATAAGGCTAAACTGTGTGCTATACCACACAGGTAAGATGATACAAATATCTTCTAAGAACTTTATCACTATTAGGGTACTTAGAGGGATTCTATATAGAAAGAGGGTATGGGAGTGAGTTAATTATGTTGGGATGAAGTAAAGAAAAATGGATAGGTGAAAAAGAGGAAGGTCCTGGGAGAAAGGGTAAGGGAGAGGTAGATTGGGGGAAATCATCTCACATAAAAGAGGCGTACAAAGAAGAGTTTTTATGGTGGAGTTGGAAAATGGTGGAGGAGAGGCAGGCAATGCTTGAAACTTACATCTAAACTGGTTCAAAAAGAGAAATATACATATACATACTCAACTGGTAGTACAAATCTATCTTATCCAATATGGAAGTCAGAGGAGAAAAGGATGGGTGACAGGGTTGGGGGGTGATGAAGGGAAGGCAACAAACTTTAAAGGAGGGACAGGATAAAAAGAAAGAGAGAAGGATAAACAGAAGAAAACAGAATGGAGAGAAATGCATAATGAGTAATTATAACTATGAATGTGAATGAAATGAACTCACCCATAAAACAGAAGTGGACAGCAGAATGGATTATAAACCAGACCCTCACAATATGTTGTTTACAACAAACACACTTGAAACAGGAAGACACACATGTTGTTTAAATAAGGGACTAGAGTAGAAACTATTATGTTTCAGCTGAAGTAAAAAAGGTAGGGGGACCAATCATGATCTCAGACAAAACAAAAGCAAAAATAGACTTAATTAAAAGAGACAAGCAGAAAAACTTTATTATGCTAGAAGGTACCATAGACAATGACATAATATCAGCACTAAACATATATACACCAAATGGCATAGCATCCAAATTCTTAAAGGAAAAGTTAAATGAATTACAGGAGGAAATAGACAATACAACTATACCAGTGGGGGACCTCAACCTTCCTCTCTCAGAGCTAGATAAATCTAAGCATAAAATAAATCAGAAAGAAAACAATGAGATGAATAAAATCTTAGAAAAGTTACATATGATAGACATCTGGAGAAAACGGAATGGGAATAGAAAAGAATATACATTTTTCTCAGCTCTATATGGCATCTTCACAAAAATTGACCATGTAGCAGGGCATAAAAAGTTCATGATCAAATACAGAAAAGCAGAAATATTAAATATATTCTTTTCAGATCATAATGCAATAAAAATTACATTGTATAAAGGGCCATGGAAACAC